CAATACCAATTAAATCATAGTTCTCTTCATGCACCAAAGTGTCTGACTCAATTATTTTGCTTGGCAGACTTCTGGCATTGGCGAACAAACACTTTAATGCATTGACACCTTGTGCACACATATTTTGCATATCTTTTATTTTCATACAAATGAAAGCCTTCCCCCCCATCTTTCCCCATTCCACCCACCAATAAGTAGTGACCCCTGTCTGATCTGTCTACCTCGTTATAATCTAATTTTCCCTCCCCCCTCAATCCTAGTTTAAATACTAATCCAACCTTCCCATAAACCACTCCCCCAGCACAGCAGACCCCCTTCCATTTAGGTGCAAACTATCTCTAGCATATAGGTTGCACCCCAATGAAAAGTCAGCACAGTGCTCTAGAAACCCAAATCCTTCCCTCTTACACCAGGTCTTTAGCCATGCATTGAGTTCTCTAATCTCCCCCTGTCTTTCCTGAGTTGCACATGACACAGGTAATATTTCAGAGAATATCACCTTGGCGGTCCTTCCCTTCATCTTACAGCCTAGTTCTTTAAATTGATTCTTAAGGAGCCTCCACCTTCCATGTATTCTGTCATTGGTTCCAACATGGACCAAGATAGCTGGGGAATGCCCAGCCCCTCCCAGTAATTTATCAACCCGGTCCACCACATGCCAAACCCTGGCACCAGGGAGACAGCAAACCATTCGGTTGAGACGATCCTGGAGACAAATTATTCTATTAGTCCTTCTGATTATAGAATCCCCTACTACCACCAGCTGTCTGTCTTCCTGCACTACCCTCACCACCCCTCCCAGATGGTCTGCCCTCCCAGCTGTTGTGTATAGCAATGACATCCAGGGATGCAACCCCTGAGCTTGCCACCTCCACATCTTCACCCAACTTGGCAAATCTGTTTGGAAGCACAAACCCAGGGTCGGCATTCCTCTTCTGTGAGCCTGTATCACTCCCTCTCGTTACAGTAACCCATCTTCCTACCTGATAACCTTGATTAGCCCCTCCACCCTCCACATCAATCCCATTAGCTACCTGCTTAGAGAGCAAAAAACCCCTTTCCAGAATGGCAACCAGCTCACATCTGTCGCAGCGGTATCCATCCTGGAGCTGCTGCTCCATTGTTGAATAAATGCAGCACACTACGCACTGCACAAAACCTTCCACCTGATAGCACTCATTATCCCAGGTACAATATTAATAGTTAATAGGAAATATCAGTTGTCACTTACAGGTTAGCAGACTCCTTGTATAATCTTCTGTTTTCCACTCCGATTTTTTAAATCCACTTATCAAATATCCACTTAGTCAAAAGTCCAGCAGGCAAAATACAGGCAAGCTCAAGAATGAGCAAGCTCAGAATGAGCTCTACAGCAATTTATATAGTAACTGTATCACCTATAACAAATTAACCCCTCCGCTAAGCCCCTGGTCACATCGGGTGCGATTTCGCATGCAATTTGCATGCCTTGCGAAATGAAAATCGTATACCAAGTCACACCCTATTGTCTCCTATTTGAATGGTCATATGTGCGGCTCTGACTTGGTTGGAGCCGCACCAATTTCTAAAGTAACGCATGCACTACTTTTGTTGCGATTTGCATAGACATCTGTGTCAGATGCCTTGCAAATCGCAATGAAATCGGCATGTCACCTGATTTTGAAATTGTGCAACTTCACTGTAAGTCACACAATTTGAAAATCGGCTTTGATGTGACCGGGGTGTTAATTAGCAGACTGAAGGAAGGCAAGGGTAGGAAGAAAAAAAAAATTCTATTGAAAAAGTGACATAAAAAGTGATTTAAAAAAGTAAAAGCTTTTAGAAAGACCCAAAGAAGAAAATAAAACAATTTTATAAGCACCAGCAGTCAAAAGTAAAACTTTTTCACTCTCCACTCAAATTTCCCACTCCTTTTTAGCTATCAGTCAGCAAAAAATGCCAGACATGACACATGGGTCCAATCACAGCACCCTGTACCTTGTGAAGAGCTGGAGCCAATCACAGATTACTATTATGTTGAACTGTTTTTTATGATAATGCACTAGGCCAGTGCACCCTCTTTTTGTTTTTCTTATGCATTCAGTGACTTTGGACTACCCCGGTCCGTTTAGGGCAGCAAGGAGTACATATTCATGAACATTTATATTGTCATCCTAGCCTCTGCTTAGTCCATTCCCAGCACAGGAGTAAAGTATTTGCTGTGTTTGATTTGCCATTGAACACCAGAATTGGCCCTGTGCTTTTGACAGATAAGAGCAGGTTCACTCTAAGCACATGCGACAGACATGAAAGGGTCTGGTGAAGCCATGGTGAACATTTTGCTGGATGTAACATCCTTCAGTATGACCGTTTTGGTGGTGTGTCAGTTATGGCCTGGGGAGGCATCTCATTAGGAGCATGCCTCGATGTTGTCAGACATGCATACAAGCATGTGGGGGTCATACAAACTACTGAGTATCATGGTCAGTTGCTGCAATGAAATTTCAGCAAAATGGACTAGCCTGCTGCATAATTTTTTCACTTTGATTATCGGGGTGTCTTTGAATTTGGTCCTTTTATAGGTTGATCATTTTGATTTCCATCAAACGATGGGGCATCCTAATGTTCCTAACACATTACCCAGTCCATATCAGTATAGATATAAAGCATGATATTTTTCCTCACTGAGATCTGATGTGTTTTCAAAGTGTTCCTTTAATTTTCTTGAGCAGTGTATATATTCTAGTTTGTAGACGCTATAACTTTTACACAAACCCATTAATATACATGTATTGGGTTTTTTTTTTTTTACCAAAGACATGTAGCAGAATACATTTTGACCTAAATTTATGACTAACTTAGAGTTTACTATATATTTTGTATAAACAAAAGTAAAAAATACAGGTTTTTTTTTCAAAATCTTCAGTCTTTTTTTGTTTATATCACACAAAAAAAAAAACTCAGTGGTGATCAAATACCACCAAAAGAAATCTCTATTTGTGTGAAAAAAATTACATAAATTTTGGTAATCTTAGTCTGCAGCCTCCTTGCCAACACTTTTACCAAAATTTTGACGTCTGCATTGATCAAAGAAATGGGGCAATATGATTCACATTCCAAAGAGTCCTTCCACTCCTTAGGTAATAGAACTATCAATGTCTCTTGTAGAAGATTGTAGTTTTCCATCCCATCGAGCTGTGTTATACACTCATAGTAAGACACCAGCATATCGTTATAGGTTTGATACCACTCAATTGGGTAGCCATCCAATCTCGGAGACTTATGAGGAGCAAAGAAGCAATCGCAGCCTCAATATCGTCACTTGTAATGGCCTGGTCCAGTGCTTCACTACATTCTCTGGGCAGTCTATGTATTGCAACAGAGGCTAGATACACAGAGATATCAGAATCCGAACCCCTCCTTGTGATTTATAAAGACCTTGATAGACCTGCTCAAACGTATGTACTATTTCTTGGGTGTCCTCTACAATGCATCCCCTAGATGTCTGGAGACACAAAATAGTTATTAGGGTATAAGAGGGTCATGCTAAAAATGCCAGAAGGCGACCACTTTTGTCCCCATGCTCAAATATTTGTCTACATTGATGTAGTTGGTTTTTAGTAGATTGTTCTGTTAAGAGCAAACGATAGGTATGCGTACAATCATAAATATTTCAAAAATGGACCGCACTAAGGTCACAGATCGACTAAATAAAATGTGCAATCTTTAAAGTGATAAGTGAGCAAAATTCAAATACAATGTTAATATTCAGTCCCAACATGTGAATAATTGGTGCAATTGTGCTGTATCTTTAATGGTGATACTCCATGCTGCAATGACAAGTGCTTCATTGTGTTCACACTGGTGCCCCACATAAATGTAAACTCACCATCATTACATGAACACCTATCTCTAGGTAAGTCACACTCGCTTTTGGAACAATCCCAGTATGCAATCCGGTCCTGATGGCTGATATTCCTTTGCCCTTTTAACCGTGGTTGCTGGTAGTAACCAATAACTTTCCACTAAGACTTCATCAATATTAGGAAACTCCTCTCCTCCACAGGCAGTATTTTATATTTTCAGCGTAAATTAAAACACAACCAGACATCCCATAGTGTAAAACTGTATAAAACTTTGATATGGGGGTCAAAAAATAGAAATGCCACTCACAAAAAAAGTGTCTTTCCTGGCACTAGGTGTATTCAGCTTTGTATATTATGAATGGAAAATTAAGATGGCCGCCACGTTCCAGCCTGCATTCCAAATACCGGAAGTGACATCAGCGGAAGTTGCGTCATAAGCTCTCAACGTGTTTTGACCAATAGATCGTCTTCGGGAAGTACGAGTGTGACTTACCTAGAGATAGTCATGAAATGACGGTGAGTTTACATCTATGTGGGGCACCAGTGTGGACACAGTGAAGCACTTGTCGTTACAGCATGGAGTATCACCGTTAAAGATACAGCACCATTGCACCAATTATTCACATGTTGGGACTGAATATTAACATTGTATTTGAATTTTGCTCATAGTTATCACTTTAACCACAAGCCTACAGAGCACTTATACCCCATTCCTGCCCAGGCCAATTTCCAGCCTTCAGCGCTGTTGCACTTTGAATGACAATTGTGCGGTCATGCAACACTGTACCCATATGACATTTTTATAATTTTTTGTGACAGATAGAGCTTTATTTTGGTGGTATTTAATCACCTCTGGGTTTTTTATTTTTTTCTTAAACAAACCAAAAACCACTGAAAATTTTGAAAAAAAAGTTTTCTTAGTTTTTGTTACAAAATGTTGTAAATAAGTTGATTTTTCTCCTTCACTGATGTGCGCTAATGAAGCTGTAGTGATGGGCACTGATAGGCTGCACTGATGGACACTGATATGTGGCACTGATGAGGAGGCACTGGTAGGTGGCACTGATGGGCATTGACAGGCATCACTGATGGGCACTGAAAGGCAGCACTGATATATGGCACTGATAGGTGGCACTGATAGGCAGCACTGACTGGCACTCTTAGGTGGCACTGACTGGCACTGATAGTCAGCACTGATGCGCACTGATAGGCAGCACTGGCCGGCACTGATAAGCGGCACTGATAGGTGGCACGGATTGACAGCACTGATAGGTGGCACTGATTGGCATTGATAGGTGGCACTGACTGGCACTGATGGGTGACACTGAAAGGCAGCTCAAATGGGCAATGATATGTGGTATTGATGTGCACTGGTAGGCACTGATATGTGGCATTGATGTGGCACTGATGGGCACTGGCACGTGGCACTGCTGGGGCTACACTGATCGTCAGGGCACACTGATCATCAGTGCTCTGATGATCAGTGTACATGTCCCCTCCGCGAAATGTCGATTACCGGCTCTCCTCTCCTCTCAAGCTGTTAGCGTGACAGCTCGGCATTTCCCTGTTTACATGTGATCAGCTGTGATTGGACACAGCTGATCACATGACTGAGCAGACATCTTCGGCTCTTTCTGTGGATTGGTGATCCGCTGTGTCCGAGGGACACAGCGCACCGCAGATCGCCGCGCTGCGTGCTCAGAATGGGAGGACGTCATATGATGTCCTCCCAGAACAAGAGAACCACCTTGCGTCCGTCATATTACTATATGGCGGGCGGGAAGTGGTTAAAGATTGCACGTTTTATTTAGTCGATCTGTGATCTTAGCGCAGTACATTTTTTAAATATTTAAGATTTTGTGTATAGTAATTCACAATTAGGACTGCTGCTATATAGGTATCTTATATAGTTTAATTATATATATGTATATATATACAATTTTTTTTCCCTAAGCGCAACAGCACCCTTTTTCTTTCAATATGCGTACATTCCTGCCACACTCCATAAATGGCCAGAGATGGATCACGCAAATATGCATGCTCCATTGTGACCACCTGTGCACCAGCCTTGACAATATCCACTCCCAAAGCTCTAGAAAAATCCTTAACAGTTTTCATATATTCCCCTCAAAGGGTAGTTTTAAACACCTTTTACTGTGTGAAAAGTTCAGTATCTCTGCTATTTTCCACCCAATATTCACTTATAGCCGACATACAGTTGAGTTCCACATATTCCTCTGGAAGACAATGTGCCCTCATATGCCAGTGTTTAATCCCTGGAGGTGTACCCAATTGCAAACCAACCTCCATAGGTGAGTGATCAGAGATATCATGTGCTAGATATTTCACATTCTGTATCAAGGAGACCCCATCTAAAGTAGGACAATATCAATACAAGAAAGTGTATGATGCATCTCCAAGTGAAAGGAAAACTCCCAGATCCGTGGGTGTCTGCGCCTCCAAACATCAATAAGGGAATAGTTCTTCAGCCACCCTGAGAGAGATGGAGAGGCCCCAGGAGTGCCACCCTGCCGATTCAAAGCCACATCTGAAACCAAATTGAAATTTACCAGGTGGAATATAGGTCCCTCAGCCACTGAAACCAACATAGCTAAAATATTTTCCAAGAGCTGAAAGGAGAATGGGGGGGGGGGGGGGGGGGGGGGGGGGGAGGGGGCATATACACTCACTATCGTAAGACAGGTTTAAAATATCTTACACACCAAAATTACATATTGCACTCTAGGGTTAGTTTTAATATGTATAATTTGCATATGTAACAATTTTGTAACTAAAATGGCAACCCCCCTCAAATACGTAAAATATTCTGCAAGTAAAAACCTGTGCAATATTGATAATAAATAATGGTGGTGAAGCTCTATGAATAAATATCCATAAATAAATATATATTAAACTGCAAATTAATCTGTGAATTATTGATAAATCCTTCAAGGTACTAAGTATGTGACACATCAAGTGGTAATGTGCAAAACCTGGTCCCAAATATGGACCTATATAAAGTGCAAATGAACACACACACACAATCCCAAATAGGGATAAATAAAGTGATACAGTGAATACCAAACGATAACATCGCTGAAAGTGACTAGTGCTATTACCTCCCAATAAAAAAACTGGTAAATACGTATGAAATAAACACATCAAGTGATAATGTGCAAAAACTGGTCCCAAATTTGGACCTATATTAAAGCGCAAAAAACCACCAATCCAAAAATAGGGATAAATAAAGTGATATAGTGAGTACCAATCAATAAACTCGCTGAAAGTGACTGGTGCTAATGCCTCCCACATACAGTTGTGTCAACCCCCACTGAAATTGAGCATTGCTTTTGATCATTCAGTCATCTTGCTTACATTTACATTAAAGAGAGGCACTTGTAGGTCAGAAAATATAACATAACAGTTATAATGAAATAACCACAAAATTTTTCTGTGCTCAATTATCAGTTTTATTCAACCCCCAAGTGACATTCAATCTTAGTACTTAGTACAGCATCCTTTTACAGTATAACAGCTTTTAAACGTGAAGCATAGCTTGACACAAGTGTCTTGCAGCGATCTACGGGTATCTTCGCCCATTCTTCAAAAGGCCTCCAGTTCAGTCACATTCTTAGGCTTGCGCACTGCAAAAATGCTTTCTTTAAGTCCACCAGAGGTTCTCAATCGGAGTTTAAGTCTGGTGACTGCGATGGCCACTCCAAAATGTTCCAGCCTTTCCTCTGCAACCATGCTCTAGTGGACTTGGAGGTATGCTTGGGATCATTGTCCTGTTGAAAGGTCCAACGTCTCCCAAGCCTCAGGTGTGTGACGGACTGCATCACGTTTCCATCCAATATCTCCTGGTACTAAGAATTCATGGTACCTTGCACACGCTGAAGCTTCCCTGTACCTGCAGAAGCAAAACAGCCCCAAAGCATGATTGACCTCCACCATGCTTCACAGTAGGCAAGGTGTTCTTTTCATCATAGGCCTTGTTCTTCCTCCTCCAAACATAGCGTTGATCCATGGGCCCAAACAGTTCTAATTTTGTTTCATCAGTCACAGAACACTATCCCACAACTTTTGTGGTTTGTCCACATGGCTTTTGGCATACTGCAGTCGACTCTTCTTATTCTTTGGAGACAGCAAGGGGGTACGCCTGGGAGTTCTGGCACGGAGGCCTTCATTACGCAGTGTGCGTCTTATTGTCTGGGCTGAAACTTCTGTACCCACATCTACAAATCTTTTCTCAGTTCCTCAGCAGTCACACGGGGCTTCTCCCACTCTACGCTTCAGTAGCGCACAGCAGTCGAAGTCAGCATCTTCTTTCTGCCATAGACCAGGTAGCGTTTCAACAGTGCCCTTTGCCTTGAATTTGCGAATGATAGCTTCCTAAGGTGTCTCTCTTGGTATGTTTAACATCAATCTTCTTATATATCCTGTGAAGAGAAATCACCTCTTCTCTTGTCTTCCTGGACCATTCTCTTGCCTTCACCATGTTTGTAACCACACCAGTAAATGTCTAGAAGGAGCTGACTATCACAGTCATTTTAAAGCTGCCTAATTGGTGCTTATTATGCTTGATTGCTGCTCGGTGACATCCACAGGTTTTTCAATACCTGATGGAAAGCACCTGTATGAACCTCTGTTCTTCAGAGTGGTAGTCTTTAAGGGGTTGAATAATTGTGGCAATGAAGAAACCACATAAGAACCATTTACTACTGTATTACATAAACAATTGATGTCATTTTAGTTGCATTTGGGTAGTTACAACGTCCTTGTAGGATTTGATTCTGAATACAATTCCAAATGTACACTATAGTAAACCCCTTTACAGCATTGGGGGTTGAATAATTTTGGACACAACTGTATATAAAAAAACTGATAAATAAATATGAAATAGATAACTACGCAATGAATAAATACAGTCCAAAAAATGTGCAGAAAAATCAGTGCAAAAATGCAGATAAATGTGCTTCATGCCACTCCAAATGCTTTTAGTACTTGTGCAACACTCAGGTGGATCAATATCCATAAATGGCTAGATTGCCTCCTCACCTCCTTACTGCGACCCCCTAAGGGCCTCAACACTTTATACAGCAGACAACTCCACACCATGCGGGCATCACATGAACCAGTCCAATGGCTCCACTTAACCTCTACTGATGATTTCCTTACTGGCTCTCCCTTCACTGTGGTCACCGCAGTACAACTCATAGGTACATATCATTATACCAGGGCCATAGAAAAATAAGCAGAAGAGACCTCTATTGTAACTCTATTTATTAGGTAAATGCCAATAAAAATCGCCAAATGGCCACTCACAGTATTGTAGATTCACATACGCATTTTTCCCATATGCTATGGGTGTACTGTAGGGCACTGACTGTAGTAAGATGGCGTCAACCGGAAGTGGGTCACACGCTCTATTACGTCACGTGACTTCCTCAGGATAGCGCCATTGGTGACCTGTTCTTCTATTCATAGGAAAGTCTGATGTCAATCAGCCCAGTGGGGTGGACACTACACAGTCATACTCTTGTGGTCTCACTAGCTTTACCGCGGCCATTTTCCATAAGTCTACTGAGCACCCATCCTTAAGAATATATAAACCCACTCTAACTATCTAAAACCTACTGCAAACCTAATGCAGATTATTAATACGAATCCCCCTCTAATCCTGCAGGCTACACATGGGGATAATAATAGATATCCCTTGTGACAGCAATTAGCATTTATTTTACTGAGATATCTGGGGCCTATTAGACCCTAGATTTATTCTCTGCTTTTAACCAAATGCTTTTCCAAGTCAAAAAAGGCTTGACTTTGCTTGTTTACATTCTGAAGACACCTGAAGTGACAAAATACTCATTGTTTCTGGTTTTTTATACCATAGAGAAGATCTGGTCCCTGTTCAGCTGTACAGGTCTCGGGCTCCCCAGTAGTATGGGAGAGCTTGGAAAGGAACCGGATGGCAAAAGGAATTGGAACCCTTTTCTGCTACCTGTAAAAGTAATCCAGCAGCTAATTAGCTGCTAGGATTGCTTTTACATGGAAGAGCATTGCTGGCTCTAAAAAATGATATCAGGATGATGCCTGCAGCTGCAGGCATCGTCCTGGTATAACCACTTCAAACGTGTGACTTACTGGCACATTGTGGGGGCTGAAGTGGTTAAAAACATTCTTGGATTTGTTAGGGAAAGGACTGAAATGTGTTTTGAGCAGACAAAAAAGTGTTATTTGATCCTGACAATGTGGTATTTTCCACAGTCCAGATAAAATATGCTGTTTTCATTGTATGTACTGTTGGAATTTAGCTTTGAGTGTAGAGTTTTCAAGATTACTTGCCCAATTTTAATTTAAAGCTCTGTTACAGAAGGATTTCCTTCACAGTGGTTCTCATCATCACATAAAACACATAAAACACAACATAAAGCAATGTTTTCAGCCTCCCAGCTATTATGCCCCACTTAGAATGTCACTGCACAGGCAATGGGGGAGATTTACTAAAACTGGTGCACTCACAATCTGGTGTACAGTTACCAATCAGCTTCTCACATCAGCTTGTTCAATTAAACTTAATTAGGCTGGTTGGTTTCTATGCAGACCTGCACAATATTTTGCATTCTCCAATTTTAGTAAATAACTTCTCAAAATTCCTCCTAGCTATTGATTTTCCCAGCTTAGGCTGTGCAGGTTCCC